CCGTGTGTGGTACACAGCCCTTGTCCCTGACCCAGAATGGTTCCTTCCCCTTCCCTCCATTGAGTTGGAATTGGAGTGGGCGAAGGTGGGGGTACAGGGCCAGGCTTTTGCGTCGCCAGCTTTCGGAAATGGTTCAGGATTACACGGACCGTCACCCCGAACCACCAGGTGCGGTTTTTCAGTGGCCTCCGTAGATCGGCTGGGTCATTATATTGCTGCTTATGGGTGGTATCCAACTCATGTGCAGTGCGCTCCTGGCGCTGAAGCTTTAGCTTTCTTGATTTTCATTCGACATAGTGCCCCTGGATATGATCAAGGCTATCATTATCATTATGAATGTCAGTAGGTAGTTGATACGTGTTTGTTTCTTCCGACCGCGTCGTGTGCGGGCATCTCCGTGCATGCCGATTTTTGGAAAGTTCTTCGCGAGAAGGCCAGCGACACGGGCTACGAATACATCCACGTACACAATGTAAGAGTTCACTTATCAAAAGCAACCAACGAATAACCTGTTTGAAGCACCCGGGCGAATGCTGCCTCAGACATGTATGCTAAACGCGAAGCTGCACTTCATGTGGTTGATGACGATGCCCTGATGCGCACCAAACGTAGTACAATCGTTGTAACTTTAATTGCCCGTTTCATTGCTTATGTCGTGTGCCTTGAAATAATTCGAAGCGTGCCCTTCCCTCTCTCCTCCTGTAGGGTCCTCTGCTCCTGGGTTGATTGTCGGGGCCTTCTTCGTGCTATTGGCCACTGGGTTGCGTGGGACACAACAACTTCGAGGTTTAGCTGTATAGCCTGCTGGACCTCCAGCAATGACGAAATCGTTTTTCAGAGGATGAAAAAACAGCCCCTGAGGGTTATGGGCACGTGCTTCGAGCATGTGTACACAATGTATTATGCCGAGCGTGTGGGCATGATAGTGCGACCAACGTCGACAAATTGCAAAAGATCTGCCCAAAGCGTGCGCGGGCTGATATAATTGAGCGTAGGCTTGCAAGCATTAGGGCGAGTAGCGATCCCGTGCCCACAATTGTTTGGTGATCTCAGCGAGCATGGGGCTCCTATAGATGTGTATCCCCGTTATTTCAGCATGTCTACGCTGATGTATTTCACGGCTCGGTGATGTGCCATACACTTCCCAATGTAATTGTCACGGGATCGGTGCGCCAGCAGTTCAAACTGGCATTTGATTCTTCGCGCTGTGCTGCGTGACTGGAGGGGCAAGATTTGTCCGCCCCGGCGTGTCCTCATCAGTGGGCAAACGAGGTCCGAACGGGGAACATAGCAGAGTTGAGGAGATGGGGATGTAGACGATGAAGGGGACTGTTGTTTAACAACGTGCCGGAAGGTACTGCTCGCTCACGCTCCTTGCCTTGTGGCTGGGGGAGCGCTCTTGAGCCAAAGTGCCGCGTTACGGCGAAATTTGGGCTGAGAGTGCAAGGTGCAAGCAATCGTATCTGTACCGCTCTATGCGCACGCACGCGCGCATGCACCTCTTGATTTCCCAAATGCTACTGCTATCGCGCCTTGCAGCGTGACTGGGGGGACAGGATTTGTGCGCCCCGGCGTGTCTTCATGAGCAGTGGGCAAATTTTCTGGGGCTGTACCTCCGGAGTCTTTGATACATGCCTATACTTATGTGTAGATGGATCGCGATGTGCCATGCACCGCACTGCCACATGTAATCGTCACGGAATCGGTGCGCCAGCAATACTTGATTCCTCACTGTTGGGCCTTTCTTGCCCAGCTTCCGGTGGTGCTGCTCCGACGCCCGCGAACTCGGGCGGGGCGCAGCTTGTCTCCCTGTCGTCGTGTCGTCGTCATTCGTGTCGTTCTCTCTTCTGGGACCTCGCGCCCTCCCGGGGCGCGCGCGAGGCCAACCTGGAGACCTAGAGTCCTCCTCCTCCTCCTTCTCCACTTCCTCCTCCTCCTCCTCCTCTTTCTCCTTTTCCTCCTCCACTTCCTCCTCCTCCTCCTTCTCCTCGAGCACCATCACTGGGGCCTTTGGGTAGAGCTCCCTTCGGGGCGCGATGCGCGCGAGGGGTTTGCCGAAATGGGCCATTCACTGCCCACGAAGCCACCCCAACCCAATCCCAAGGCCCCGTTTTGCCCTTCATTCCCAGTGTGTGTGTGTGTGGGGGGTTGTGGAACATTGAAGAAACACGTGTGGAATCCGTAACCCCTTTTCCAACCCAAAGTTCGGGTCTTCGGGTCAGGCTTGGGTGGCCTGGCAAGTAGTCAGCCGTGATGCGCTGACCCTGCGATCCGACGTTGCGGAAAAGTTGCACGCCACACGACCCGAGCCTCATCGACCACGAGGTCGAGCCTGATCGATCTGCGCGGGTGCACGTCTCGCAGATGGCGAGGATCTCGCTTCCTGACTGGGCTAGGAAGAACTTCCCACTCTCTTCCTCTCTGTTTCCTGACCATTCAGGAGGGGAAAAAACACACAGACACAATTAATCGTCGATTCCCCAGAAAATATGGGAACATATGGGAAGTGGGGGCGAAGACAAAAACCCAGAACATATGGGAAAATATGGGGGATCGTTTTATTTGTGTGTGTGTGTGTATTTATTGGTGTGTCGTGGGGCCCCTTCAATGAGGTCGAGCCTGTCGATCTCTCTTCCTGCTGCACCTCTCGAGCCCGATCGATCCGTGAGGGCCGCCCGGGCCCGACGCCGGGGCGGCATCGCCTGGTGTGAGCAAGGCTCGGCGCTCGGCTTTTGGGGGCCACCTCCTCTGCCCTGGGCCCCCTCCTCCTCCTCCTCCTCCTCCTCCTCCTCCTCCTCCTCCTCCTCCCCCTCCTCCTCCTCCTCCTCCTCCTCCTCCTCCCCTCACTCGTCTCTCTTGCCCTAACATGCCCCTTGACCCCACGAATCTGCCCGCCTCCTTTTCAGGGACCGCCTCCACCTCCTGTCGGACCTCCTCTGCCCTTGTCCCTCCTCGGTTTGCTACTCCGCGGCCTCCGTCTGTCTCCCAAATTTGTCCTCATCATCACACTCGTATTTTCCTCGGCTTATTTCTCGGCATCGTCTCTGGGCGCCCCCTCTGCCCGTCTCCTCCGTTCGCCTTGCCCCTCTTGTGCTCTCTGTCCCTCCTGCTCCATGGGGTGGGTCCAGCGCCGATCCGAGAAATCCGCACGGACCTCCGGGTTTTTATGTTTATGCCATTTTTTGTTCCCCTACTCAGGCCCCCCAGGGATTCCCGGCGTTCTCCACGTGCGGGGCACCCCTCAAACGACGTCCAGAATATGAGGCAGGCTCAAGCCCAAGGGGTTGCGCCCTCATCCTCCTTTCTGCTTCCCTTCCCTCCCTCGTTTTCACCAGAATCCTGATCCTAATCATCATCCTCATGCTCACACTCGTCCGCCCCGGCCCCCCTCTCACGTGCCAATTCCCAGTGGCTCCCCTTCGTGGGTTCGTGCCCTCTGCCCCTCGACTTCGCGTCCCCCAATCCCCTCAGTCCCCTCTCCCTCCCTCCCCCTCCCCTCCCTCCCTCCCCTCCGGCTTCCCCCTCCCTCTCCCCTCTTCCCCTTCCCCGCTCCCTCTAACAATTAGCTCAATATGACAATACTCTCCTCATCTCCCCCTTCCCCTGATGGCGTCCGGGTGATTGCCGCGCACCCTCCGCGTACTGTTTTTTACACACAGGATGCCCGGGAAATCCCGGGAAACGACTCTCGCTGAGGCGCCGGCGTCATTTTTTCCCAAAAATGCTGCTCTCGTTGAGGCGCCGGCCTCATTTCTGCTCCCGAATCGTTCCGAATCGTGCTCAGGCTCCACGAGGGAGGAGCCCGCGGGTGTCAGCGTGGGCCTCATTTCGGATCGTGTTATTACCGATCAAACGTTCGTGTCGGATTGGCGTTCTCTGCCCAGCGCGGGCCTTTTTCTCGCGCGCACCATCCGCCCGCCACCACCGCTCCGCACGCAACCCCCACTCCCACCACCACCCCACCACCAACCAAACACCACCACCACCACCACCACCACCACGCCCCACACCACCCCACCACCACAACCACACCACCACCACCACCACCCACCACCACACCACCACAACCACATACCAGCACCAGCACCAGTACCAACACACCACCACCAGCACCACCCACCACCACCACCACAGCATGCAGCACCATCCCCCCACCACCACACCACCACCCCACCACCACCCCCACACACCACCACCACCCCACACCACCCACCACCACCACCACCACCACCACCCCACCACCACCACCACCACCACCACCACCACCACCACCACCACCACCACCACCACCACCACCACCACCACGACAACCACGCACACACGCACGCACGCACGCACGTGCACCACCACCTACTACGCACGCGCGCGCGGAGCCACAGGTCCGCTACGACACGCGTCCGCGGATAGAGAAAATCAGCGCCATGGTAAGGGATGGGAGGGAGGGGTAGGACGTCAGATATGACGCGATCGCACCTAGCTTGCCCTCTCCCCCTCCCCTCCCTCCCTCCGTCCCTCGCGCCCTCGCGCCCTCCCGTCTCCTCGCTGTGGCTCCCCCGCCGCCCCCTCCGCCTCCCGCCGCCCTCGCTCGATCGAGGACCGATCGGCAGAGGGCCGAGCCCTCGAGGTGCAGGAGGGAAGGAAACACGCAGACACAATGAATCGTCGACGCCCAGGAGAATATATGGGAAACCATAGGAAGTGGGGGGGAGGACACAAGCACCGAAGACATGGGAACATGTGGGGAATCTAGTTATGTACCTGTGTCTACCTGTTCGTGTGTGTCCCAGGGCCCCCTCCCAGGGTCTGGAGCGGCCTGGGCGTCCTCCGGGTGACCTTCCTGTCCGCTGGAGGCGGTCGTCGTCGTCGTCGTCGTCGTCGTCGTCGTCGTCGTCGTCGTCGTCGTCGTCGTCGGCGGCGGCGGCGGTGTCGTCGGCGGCGGCGGCGGCGGCGGCGGCGGCGGCGCGAGGCGGGCGGGCGTGCGCGCGGGCGGCGCGCGCCAGGCTCGCGGCGGCCGCTCCTCGTGCGGCTACGTCGCCCACAACGGCTTCCTGCCGCTGGTGGAGGAGCCCCGGGCCAGAAACGCGCAGCGCGAGGGGTACTCCAGATTTCGTAATATCGCAGGCCTCGAGGTTGACACCAAGACCAATATCGGCGGTGTTCCTCCACCGAGGAAAGAAGATCCCGATCTCGGTGATGGTGGCAATATTCTGGCTTCCAAGGTGACCGAAATATTACCACCAACACCGAAATCTAGGATCATCTCTCCCCTGTGGTGGCAGCCCCCTGTCTTGGTGTTGGTGCCTATTTCCAGGCCTCCAATAATAAAAGGGAGGGGGTCACAACCCTCCCAGACGAGAAGTTTTAGACCCCCCAGACTGTCCATCAAAGGGCGGCCCTTTGCCCAGACCCCCCCGAACCCTCCAAGACAGCTCAAATTAGACCCCCCCCCCGAATGTGACCCCCCCCCCACTTTGTTATGGAATTCGGAGTACCGGTGCAGCAGTCAGCCCACGGAGCGATCGATTTGCATGATGTGAGAGTCGGGGGCGGAAGAGAGGGGGGTGATGACTAGGGGGGGGTGGATATCATGGCGGGGGCCATGATACTTCCTCAGATTTCACGGCGCCTCTTCTTATTCCATCACGTCCCTGGCCACCCCGCTGGGCCGCGTACATGCCGCCGGCCATGATTTGCACCCCCCCCCTATTGGACACCCCCCTCTTGGCCGCTCCCGAGAGAGGGGGAGGGGGGGAGGCATTCCTCCTCGGTGCGCCGTCCTTCCCCGCGCCAGTCGTGGCGCCCTCCCGCCTCTCGCCTCCCCGTCCGCTGCGCGTCTAGCTTGGGCGAGCGCTCTCTTGCAGCACGGGCGGCATCCCTCAGTCTCATGGTGCAGCGTCTCGGTACTCCAGGCTGTCGTTCTTTTTTCTCTTCGTGCACCGTGCCCCTGCACAACCCCCCTCCTCTGTGCGTCGTACGTTCGGGAGCCTTGCCCGTCCGATTGGATGCGACGCGGATTCGGCCCGTTGCTCGACGGGACGGACAAGGTCTTCCGAATCTGCAGCATCATTTCCTTCGGAAGCAAGTCATGGGAGCCTGCTATACCCTCTTAATTCCGTCTTTCGCATCGACTGGCGTCGATTAGCGTCTGGGAGTCGATGAGATAGCGCCGATTAGCGTCGATTAGTGCCGATTAGCGTCGATGTAGCGTCGATTAGCTTCGATTTAGCGTCGACCAGCGCCGACTCGCCAACAAGATAGCGTCGACCAGCGCCGATTAGCGTCGATTAGCGTCGACCAGCCAACAAAATGGTACGGGAGGCTCCCATAAGTTGCCACAGAAACTCCCTCGTCTTTGAGATTCTTGGATCGGACTTCGAGAATCGATCTGTTTTTCAGTTTTTGGCTATTTTGGTGCCTCTGGGGTCTTCTCGTCGGGATGGTTGGACTTCCTTCGACATTGGGACAATAACGCACCCGTGGATAGGTCCTGGGGTGGGTCGCCCCGTCTCGACTGGTCCCACTCACTCCCCGTGTCATGCTGTCGTCGCCCCGCTTCCCTTCCTTCGTCTCGCTGCTGCGGCCGCTACTGCCCGGAAGTCTGTATCTGGCGACGCTCTTGGCCTGGACCTCACCGACCTGGTCAGAGGGGGGGCGAACAAGATTATGGTCACCGCCATGAACACAAAAGGACCGGCCGCTCCAGAGGGGGGTCGTGTATAGCGGGAGCACGGTGTAGGGTGATGTCGCCCCGAGCAAGCCAACCGGTGACGAGGCGTGGGATATTCGAAGGATGCCGAATGTGTGGAATCAAAGCAGAGAGGAAGTACGAGTGTGAGACAGGAAAAATGGAGCTATGGAATACATTTGGAAAAACGATGAATCTAACTTACAAGCTTGTTCAGACTGTTCTGCCACTTCTTCATTGTTTCAAGCTTTCACGTCCGGGCGAACTTTGTTCAAGCCTTGTGCAAACATTCCAATCCAGATCCAGGCGAACTTTTTTCAAACCTGCTTCAAACTTGTCAAGCTTCCAACTCCGTGCGAACTGTTGCACTTGTTCAAACTTGTATCAACCCTTTTCCTGGCTAATTTTCAAATCGTATCGAACTTCACATTATGAGCGACTTTTGTTCCAACTTTTCGAAATTGTTCAAACTTCTAGATCCAGGCGTTTGTGTTTACAGCTTTGCTTCAAGCTTTTCAATGTTTTCAAACTTTGTTTCAAACCCTTCGAACTTTCAAATCTGGTAAGTGTTTACAACTTTCCCGACACGGGCGAACATGTTCCAACCTTCTGAATCCCAGGATACTCGCACTCATATTTCGCCCGCTTCGTGATTCACCTTTTCTTATAATCTTCTCAAGCTTCTGGATGACACTCAGATTTCAACAGGTTGCCTTCTCCGGGGCGACGTCACTGTAAGGAAACACGGGGAGGAGTCGGTGTCGGTTCGCACCAAGTTTTATTCCTCTTCTTTCGAGTTTCGTATGTTGCCGCGTGTCGCACCGATATCGACGCAACGACGATGGTGCCATGGTAGCTGTGGAGGAGCATGAGGAGGAAGAGGATGATGATGAAGTTGAGGAGGAGGAGGGAAACGTGGACGAGAAGCAGGATGAGGGACAGGTGCAGCCACTGTACTCGTGAATCTCTCCGTCGCAATGGTACCCTCTGCTTCGGGCGGTGGTCTGTGGGCATCGCATAGGTGCCTGAGCCAGAGCGACTGATTCTGTCGCAGTACCCTTTGCTGGCAAGGGAGGTGCGATGCCCTTTCGTACATAACAACATTTGCCCTGTCACCTCCGTCGCCATGATCTGTTTAGTCCGCGGGTCTCCAGACCTTTCGACCCCGACATTCGCAGGAGAGGTTCGTGGGGGCATTATTGAGTGATTGGGTGGCGGGACTCAGAGGAAGTAGTAGCAGTACTCGTAGTAGTAGTAGTAGTAGTAGTGGTAGTAGTAGTAGTAGTAACCGTAGTAGTAGTAGTAGTAGTAGTAGTAGTAGTAGTAGTAGTAGTAGTGGTAGTAGTAGTAGTAGTAGTAGTAGTCGTAGTAGTAGTAGTATTAGTAGTAGTAGTAGTAGTAGTAGTAGTAGTAGTAGTAGTAGTAGTAGTAGTAGTAGTAGTAGTAGTAGTAGTAGTAGTAGTAGTAGTAGTAGTAGTAGTAGTAGTAGTAGTAGTAGTAGTAGTAGTAGTAGTAGTATA